TACTACTACTACTACTAGTATTGCTGTTATGACTTTTATACGCTCTAGCTCCCCACTTGTGGTCATAAACACCTCAGGCTCATGTCGACAGTGCACATGCGACACTGCTACTGGAGCTCATTACAAAGAATCTGAACGCAAGGAGTTCCTGTTGATGTTTTATGCTTGTTCTACAAATTCGATCCTGAGAAAAGATCCCAAGTGTTCCAGCACAGACATTCTGCCCTCTGAGCGGAGACAGAAAAGCTTTGTCTCGAAGCAGCAGGGCTTCCACACGCCTGTTGGGATGCTGCTTGTTGACAGCCTTAGACGACCTTCAGCCGCTGAGAATCCGTACAAGTTATTAATCTATCGTACAGCTTACCACTATGCGTTCCCAAAGGCTTACCCTAGACGGCGCTCTTCCAAAAAATGATTTACGCCGTTGAAGAGACTCTGTTCTTCGCGTTTTAAGCCTGTCACCCTGATTGAAACTTCAGTGCTACATAGCCCATCGCTCACAACCGACGGCCTGCTAGTGTAACTCAACGCCTGAAACAGCAAAAATCCTAAACGTCCGAAACCTTGTAGCAGCCCTTACAGCGACCTTAAAAAGTACGAAAAGTCGTACGTAACCCTGAGGAAGAGCCCGGCCCGAACCATGATCTCAGCAGCCCTTTGGGCGTGAATCCTTTGAGGCCGATCCTGTACAGCTGGCCTTGGAGTCAACCTGTGCTCCTAACTCCTATAGAGGGTAGGGTTTAGGGTTTAGGGTATATCAGGGTACTATAAAGTAGGTCTCTCTCTAGGGCTTTCGAAAAGTTGTGGGGACATTGCTGCTAGAAGGGCACTATACTAGTGCGTAGTGGTAGTGGTCGTCGTAGCAGTAGCAGTGGTAGTGGTGGTAGTAGTGGTGGTAGCAGAAGGAAGAAGAGGAGTAGGAGGAGGAGTAAGAGGAGGAGTAGAGGTCTAGACTGGAGGAGCAGGAGTAGAAGTTGGAGCAAGAACGAGTAGGAGAAAAGGAGTAAAGGAGTATGAGTAGGAGTACTAGCAGCAGCGGCGGCAGCAGGAGGAGGATTAGTCGTCAGCAGTCGTCGTGAAAGTGTTCTTGTTAGTAGTGGGAGCAGCAGCCGCAGCAGGAGTCTCGTAGTCTCGCTTCGTCACTCGAATCCACGTGCATGGCAACAAGAACAGTTAAGACTAGTTAAGGCAGGCAGGAGCGCATATATCCGACCAGAAGAGTCCGATTTTTCCTGGACCGAATTTCGCGCATGCTTACCACGAAAATGCACGCGTGGAGTGACGCCTGGATGTTTACAAGTCGGACGTGTATTTTCTTGTAGGCAATGTCAGAAGCCGGTGTCAGACTGCAGCAAACGCCGGCCGTCAGAGAGGACACCGATCGGTCATGAAGCAGTGCTTGTACCACTTTCGCCCTTGAAAGCCATGTCGACGTCGTTGTGGCACTGATGCTTTATCTGTTGCACATGTCTGTCATGCAGTCGAACTCAGGCAACCTAGGTGGGTCTTGTTGTGTCAGGACGTTTCCTGAATTTCCAACGCACCAAAATGTAGAGAAGCACCGCAGCCACCGTCACTTTCGACTAGGGCCCGGTCTTTCAGGTAAGAGCCCGAAGAACAAGTTCTACTAACTTCAGCTACCTCACCTCTGTACAAGCCATAGTAGAATATGCAACCCAAACCCTGCTCTAATTACCAAGGCTACTATGTGCACTTGGAGATTTTTCTTGGAACCTGCGGCCATGGCAAAGGAGGAGCCGGAGCAATGCAGCCCATCCTTCCAGTCGCGACTGGCAGAGTGGAGCGAGCAATGTCTTAGATTTCAATCCTCTGGCGAGACGTGGGTGCCCACGAAGCCATGCTGCCCGGCGAACCCCGTCTTGGGGCTAGAAGCTTTTCTCTGGCAAGGGGAGAAGAAGCACCAGGCGAGAGCTTGCGTAGAACTCCTCAGCATAGAGGAGCTACTTACGCTGCATCGTCACTTTTTAGCGACTGAGAACCGGCAGCACGCCCAGCCTGCTTCGGGCGTGGTTTCGCCCAGCCTGGTTTGTCTGCAGGTCCGGCCTTGGGCGGGAGAGAGCCCGCAGAAGCTCCCCGCGACCGATCGGACCGGATCTGACGAGGCATCCGCAGCGAATCCTTCCGGCTTGAAGCAAAGCCCCATCTTGTCGAAAGCTTCCGGCTCCGCTTTGACAGAGTTGAGCCCGGCTAAGAGAAACCCGGACAGCCCCTCCACCAAGAAGAGGATCAACGAGGTGGCCAAGGCCGAGAAGCTGAAACGGAAGCCCCAGAAAGCGAAGGGAGTGGGTTATTGTTCACGCTCGTGGTCCTGGCGTGTTTCTGTGTGGGACCCCACCACCAAAACATCGAAATCCGGGGGCTACTTCCCGGTGAAAAAGGATGCCTTGGCCCAGGCTCGCGAGCTGGCAAAGAAATTCGAGCGGAGGCCCGGCTCCGATGTCAAGGGCGTCTACTGGTACAGCAACGGTTGGCGCGTGCGCATCTATGATGCGGCCACCCAGAAGGTCAAATACGGAGGCTCTTTCAAGGTCAAGAAGGAAGCGGAGGCCAGGGCTAAAGAACTGGCCAAAGAGGCCTGCCGCCACAGCAAGAAAAAGCAGTCCCGCAAGCACTGACAAGGGTGCTATATGCGGATGTGCCAATGCAGGATGCGCGAGGCGCAAGCTCAAATTGTGCTTGTGTCTAGGGTTGAGGAAGTAGTAAACAGTAACTAACTATTTAATGTAATTCTTGAGCAATGACTTACAATTGTCCCACGATGTCCCCAGTAGTCCCAATATACCTGCAGTACATCAGTACATCATGCCCCAAAATGCTCTTCAGATGATTCAAGAGTGAGCTTATTGACCAGAATTACTGCAATTCTGACTGCGAAGTTGCCTCTAACCCTACCACCATCACCAACAGCTGCACCACCACCACCACCACCGGACCCATCCCATCCCCCTCGCCCCCGCATGCACCACTGCCGCCGCCACCACCACCACAACCGACATCACCAACACCACCAACACAAGCACCATCAGCATCATAGGCATCATCAACATCATCATCATCAGCATCACCATCATCATCTTCATCCTTATCATAATCATTAATCATCATCATCATCATCGTCAACATCATCGTCATCAGCACCAACCTGATCACCATAACCGTCGTTATCCCACAGTTGCCACCATTACCACCGTTCGCCGTCTTGGTCATCCCATGATGCTGGTCATCGTTATCCACAACAAGCCGTGTCAGCACCATCAACATCATAATCGTCGTTATCCTCTTTACCATGTCGTCATCATAACCATCACTAGCAGCAGCAGGAGCGGCGGCGGCGGCCTCCTCCTCCTCACTATCGTCACCACCAGCATCAGCATCGTTATAATCATCGCGACCGCCACCCCACCAATTGCACCTCAACAGGGCAAATGAGACGATCTCAACGCCATTCGCGTTCTCCTGATACTGCTAGCATTAGAGGTTGGCCGGTGACAGCAGGCGTTCCAGTCGATGTGATGGTGGTTGCGATGGTCGCAGTGGTGGTGGACGGAGACGTGTGGGTGCGCAGGTCACGGAAGTGATGCTAGTTGCATTGGTGATGGCACAGCAGCCCCACCATTGCCATCATCCTTCCGATGTTAGGCTTCTCAACTTGGTAGAGCTGTTTGCCGGAGCCGTGGGCTTCACACACGACTATGTAGGGGAAGACGCGCCAATCTCAGCCGCATGCCACACCCACCCAGTTTCGTGCTTGGTCAGGAGACAGAAAAAGCATGTGACATGTGTGCAGCATCTGCCTGAATTACTAGGAGCAACGGAGCCTCATCACAAGGATCGGACTGATATCCAGCACCCACCAATGCCTGGGGATGGCGATGACCCTGGGAAGACGGAGCCCCTGACAGATCGGGCAGAGGACGATCAATAGGGTGTAATGGGTTTAGGGTTTAAGGGGCGTTCGAAAGGCTATGATCTTCGGGTGTTTTGGGTTTAGAAATCATGTCGCAGTTGCTTGGGAAATTTCGGTGCTGAGGCTTTTTGGGGATGACTGTGCAGATTCACGCGGTCCAGCAGCACGGTTTGCCAAGAGAAGTATGTTGAAATCCCTCGGCCATGCGCGACAAAGCCGTCTCAACTCGGAGGACCTTGAGCTCCAAGGGTTCTGGAGTCATGCGCCTCGAGGAGTCCTCGAACCATAAGTTCGAAAGTCCGAAGCACCGGATCTGTGTTGAAGCCGAGTCCTGAAATCAGAATTGGTTCTGTGGCCCGAGCTCGCACAAAAGCCGTAAAGCCTTAAACCCTAAACCCTGAAACCCTAAAGCCTTAAACCGTAAACGTGACTTGAACTCCCCAAACCCCAAAACGCCCTCTGTCCTGTACCCCCCCGACTCCAGGAGTGGAGCGAATGCGCGTCGCGACTGTTTGCCGGACTCGTGTCTTGTTTTTCTTCCCCTCTAGGGGTTCCTTGAAGGGTTCCTGTAAGGGGTTCCTTGAAGGGCTTCCTTTAAGTGGTTCCGTGAAGGGCTTCCTTTAAAGGTTTTTTCAGACGATTTTTCCAAGGTTTCCAAGGGTTCGTTTAAGGGTTCCACCCATCAGATGCAGTACCTCAGAGTTCAGATTTTTAAGGAAGGCTTGTAGTTCGCGGAATCATCAGCATAAAGGTATTGCTTCACTGTATGTGGAAGATGCGAGACTGCTTTGAGAGCAAGCCGATTGAAGCATATGTCTGCATGTGTGTGTGTGTGTTCTTGAAAAGATCCATGAGAAATACGAATATGCATGAACGGATGTCCATGGCCGACATGCATTTGCGAATACGTGCGCAGACAAAGGCGGCAGAGGGAGAATGCATTTACATCGTGGTATCAGTCGTAAGCAACTCTCCTTGCTTTAAAGAGTGTTGTGTGCGTTACAGTATGCTCAACCCTGTAATGCGGGCTACTGTGGACCCTGCCGTATCCCCTTCTTGGAGTGAAGCCCGCCCCTTCAGAAGGTGTACATGTGATAAACGAGGACTTGAGAAGAGGGGGTGGGGTTTGAGGGATGTTCGAAACCAGTTAGAGTTTTGGGACATGTCATGGTTGTTACTTACATCCAAAGCCGATCCCAAACCGCATTTATGGGGCCCAAGTCGGGCTTCTTCAATTCCACGATTATGGGTCCATTTTTGGGAGCTCCTTGTCAGACAGTCTTAAGCAGGGCTTCTTAAACTCTCGCATGGTTTAAGGGATACCTAGAGTAACCATGGTATGACCCGAAGCAATTGGTACATTTGCTTTGTTTTACTGTGCCCTCTTGAAGGGATCCCTGGCCACCTACGTCCTACTGGCAGCTTCGGTCCTCAAGCGTTGTAAATACCTGCGGAGTCCGACCGGGAAGCATCCTGGTAGGTGCAGTTTTTGGTTCTTGCCATTCGGATGAGTAAAGGGGTGGGTGCAAACGGCATACTACGACGACAAGTGCTGCTTTGAAAACGATGCCGAGTTAGGTGAGTAAGCATATTATGTACGCCCCCGGAACCCTAAACTGCTTCCCACAAAACACCCTCATATCCAGCCCGAGCGCTGAGGCAAGAAGACCCTGCGGCATTCTGGTAATAAAGTATATATGTGCGTGTATGTATGTATGTATGTATGTATGTATGCATGTATGTATGTATGTATGTATGTATGTATATATGTATGTATGTATGTATGTATGTATGTTTATTTGTAGGAATACAGTCAACAGAGAGAGAGAGAGAGAGAGAGAGAGAGAGCAATCGGGACCCGGAAGCTGGACACCGGGGGATTGGTGGTACCAAGAACGACACCACGGCCTTGGTGACACAGCCAGAAGTGATCAACAGAGGCGGGGGATTCGTCGACCAAGAAGTCCCACGCCACCAGACAGCATGTCAGACTCGAGCCATCGCCGTCGCCGCATCCTGGCCGAGCATGTGCATGGTCAAGACCTTTGAGACGAGCTGTCTACGCAGCACGGGGGACTGAAGTCGCATAACGAGCCCATCTGAAGCCAAGTGAGAGCGGCTGCAAGGCAGGGGGAAGTGTCTGTGTTATTTATCTGTGTTGTACCCTGGCCCCCCCCCTTTGCTTACCTAAACCACTACCTCCGACCTGCCAATGTTGTCCAAAGAGCTGTGTTTTTTGTTTGATATGTGGGGGACTCTCCTAAGCACAATGGCTGTGTGTGACGTGAGCTTTGTTTTTGGCCGGGGCCTCAGCTTTCTGCGCGTACTTTTGTGTGCTCGGGGAAGAACCTACGACGTATGCAAATTAACTGTTTAAAGACGTCAGCGGCCTTCATGAGTATAGTCTGATTCGTAGGTGCTAGTAGCTTGTTTTTGCCCTCTTAGACTGAGTGAAGCAGCTGATGTTGGTGCATAGGAAAACCTGTCTGAGCAGCATCCCTGAATCAGCACTGGTTGTACCACCATGCTTTTAGTGTTACTCGTGTTTTTGCTGCCGTTGTCACAGGAAACCAAGGGGGATGTCGTGCTCAGCCGGATTCCTTTTGCCAAAAAGGGGGGACCGGAGTAAGAACATGCAAATTGCCTCAAAGTATCCGAAATCACCTGTTCCCTGGAAGCTGAACAACACACATGCTTAGCCTCCTAGGCCTTTGTGATGGATGTGCTGTGTCCTTGTTTTATCATAAACCCGGGGAACAAACAGTGATGATGGGAGCTGGGTTCGCAATAGAGCCCCTGACTCTCATATACAGGCACTTGCAAGCGCTTTTTCGCTAGGAGGGGTTATCCAAGTATGGGTTTCTCATCGGCTCTAATCTACTTCAGCAGTGCTTGGCCCCCCCTTGACAACTTTGTATGCCTGAGCCGGCAAGTTTGCGCTTCCGGGGGAAGCTTTTTTGGTGTTGTGAGCTATGGGTTTGTTGGACATGGGCATTTATAATGATCCCTCGGTAGGCCACAATGGGTGTCCCAAAGAAGTACTGTGCACGTGGGTCGGGGGACAACAACTTCGACTTACATGCGTCCTTTTCACAACCCCCTGAAAACCCCAGGAAATTTGGGGGGCCTAAAAGGCCGGGGGGTCTAACCGACTCCCCATGCCCTGGAGAAGAAGAAGAGAGAGAGAGTTCTCTAAAACATGAGCAACAGTATTCCCCATTTGTCCCGACATAATGACTGCACGATACCCACAGCTAGTCTAATTTTTGACGAGCCAGAGTCCATCGACGATGCTAAGCCCTAAACCCTGAGATGTAGCCTATGCACTTGGTCACTTGGCCCAAGGAACTCCGGAAGGGCTGCGCAGCTCATCAGACTGGACCAAAAGCCGACTGACACCAACATTCGGAAGTGTTTCTACTTCCCGTGGAGGGGTTTAGGATGAAGCTTGTTACTTTACTTCTGTCTTTGTAGTGTTCTTTTGCTTCATTGGGCCAGAAAGCCCCATGACTCCGATCCCGGCACCAAGCGATTGCGTCGTGAATGCCAACTGCAGCTGTGTGTTAAGATGATGATGTTTGCCTAAGGCCCACGGTGTTACGATGGTGTATGCCAGGCCTAGAAGCTGCAGCCACACCCTAAACCCAAAACTGTGGAGACTCATGGAAGTTTCACAAATTCGGGAGCCCCCAACTTTAATTAGGAACA